TCACACATACACATACACAGATTCATTTTCATATTCTTTTTCATTGTAGGTTACTATAAGAATGTTAGTTTTACTTTTAAAAGTATGTTGTCAGTTATTTAAAAACATGTGCATGGAGTATTCTCTAGGATAGAACACATACTAAAACACAAAACAAACCTCAACAAATTTAACAGGATAGAAATTATTTCAAGCATTGTTTCTGACCACAGTTGCAGGAAACTAGAAATCAACCACAGAGAGAAGTGAGAAAAAATGATTACATGGAGACTAAACAACATGCTACCTAAAAACCAGTGGGGGAATGATGAAATCAAAGAGGAAATTAAAAGATATTTCAGGACAAATGACAATGAAAACACAACCATACAAAACCTATGAAATGCAGCAAAAGCAGTCCTAAAGGGGAAGTTCATAGCAATACAGGCCTTTCTCAAAACATAAGAAAAATCCCCCCCTAAGCAATCTAATTTATCACCTAAGAGAATTAGAAAAAGAAGAACAAACAAAACTTACAGTCAGCAGAAGGAAGGAAATAATAAAGATCAGAAAAATCAGTAATACCAAGAGCTATTTTTTTGAAAAGATAAACAAAATCAACAAACCTCTGACCAGATTCACCAAGAAGAAAAGAGAGAGGACCCAAATAAACAAAATAAGAAATGGAACAGGAGAATTAACAACTGATACAGCAGAAACACAAAAAACCATAAGAAAAATATTATGAACAGTTGTACACCAACAAAATGGACAAGTTTTTAGAAACATATAGCCTGCCAAAACTGAATTGAGAAGAAACAGATAATTTGAACAGACAGATCACTAGAAGTAAAATAGAATCTAAATGATAATAATTTAAAAAAAAAACTCCCTGCAAACAAAAGTCCTGAATTGGACGGCTTCACTGGAGAATTCTACCAAACTCACAAGAAGAACTTATTTCTTCTTAAACTCTTCCAAAAGACTGAAGAGGAGGGAACACTCCCAAAGTCATTCTATGAAGTTATCATCCCCCTGATAACAAAACCAGAAAAAGACATTACCCGAAAAAGAAAATTAGAGGACAATCTCTTGGCCTGTAATATAGATACAAAAATACATAAATACACATGTAAAAGTATATAAATACAGATTCAAAAATCCTAATATTAGCAAACTGAATCCAACAACACATAAAAAGGATTATACAGCATGATCAAGTCAGATTCATTCCAGGTTCACAAGGATGGATCAACATACACAAGTCAATCAATGTGATACACCACATCAATAAAAGAAAAGACAAAAATCAAATGATCATCTCAATAGACACAGAAAAAGCATTTGATAAATGTTGATAAAATTCAATAGTCATTTATGACAAAAACTCTCGCCAAAGTGGGTATGGAGGAAGCATATCTCAACATAGTAAAAGTCATGTATGACAAACCCACAGACAAAATAATACTCAATGGTGAAAAGCTGAAAGCCTTCCCACTAATTCTGAATAAGACAAGGATGCTCACTCTCACCACTTCTGTTCAACATAGTACTGGAAGTCCCAACCACATCAATCACAAAAGAAAAAGAAGGTATACAAATCAGAAGATAAGAGGTAAAATTATCATTTGATGCAGATGACATAACACTCTATATAGAAGACCCTAAAGACTCCACACAAAAACTATTAGAACTAAGAAATGTGTTCAGCAAGGTAGCAGGATACAAGATTAATACACAGAAATCTGTTGCATTTCTTTACACTAACAAAGAAATATCAGAAGGAGGAAGTAAAAAAAAAATCCCATTTAAAATCACATCAAAATAAAATACCTAGGAATAATCCTAATCAAGAAGGTGAAGGTCTTATACACTGAGACCTATAAAACATTGGTAAAAAAGTCGAAGATTATTCAAAGAACTGGAAAGACATCCCACAGTCTTGGATTAGAAGAATTAATATAGTTTAAACAGCCATACTCCCCAAAGCAATCTCTAGATTTAATATGACCCCTTTCAAATTACCCATGACATTTTTCACAGAATCAGAACAAATAATCCTAAAAATTATATGGAACCACAAAAGACCCTGAATTGCCAAAGCAATCCTGAGGGAAAAGAACAGAGCTGGAAGCATAAACTTTCCAGTCTTCAGACAATACTACAGAGCTACAGTAATCAGAACAGCATGGTATTGGCACAAAAATAGACATATGGACCAACGGAACAGAATAGAGGACCCAGAAGTAAATCCATGCACCCATGGTCAATTAACCTTTGACAAAGGAGGCAAGAATATACAATGGAGAAAAGACAGTCTCTTCAGCAAGTTGTGTTGGGAAAGCTGGACAGCTGTATGTAAATAAATGACATTAGAATACTCCCTCACAAAAAATGAACTCAAAATGGCTTAAAGACTTACATACAAGACATAACACAATAAAACTCCTAGAAGAGAACAGAGGCAAAACATTCTCTGACATAAATAGTGTCAATATTTTCTTAGACCAGACTCCCAAGGCCAAATAAAATAAAAGCAAAAATAAGCAAATGGAATCTAATAAAACTTAAAAGATTTTACACAGCAGAGGAAGCCATAGCAAAAGAAAAAGGTAACCTACAGCCTGGGAGAAAACACTTGCACACTATGCGACCAACAAGGGCTTAATTTCCAAAGTAAACAAACAGCTCATACAACTCAATAGCAAAAAAAAAAAAAAAAAAAAAAAAAAAAAGCCAACAACACACAAGCCAGTCAAAAATTGGGCAGAAGCCTAAACAGGTATTTCCCCAACAAAGACATAGAGATCGCCAACTGGTACATGAAAAAATGCTCAACATCACTAATTATTAGAAAAATGCCAATCAAAACTGCAATGAAGTGTCACCTCACACCAGTCAGAATGGCCATCATCGAAAAGTCTACAAATAAGAAATGCTGGAGAGGTTGTAGAGGAAAGGGAACCCTCCTACACTGCTGGTGGGAAAGGTTGGTGCAGCCACTATGGAAAATAGTATGGAGGTTCCTTAAAAAACTAAAAACAGAGCTACCATATGATCCAGCAATCCCACTCCTGAGCATGTATCTGCAGAAGACAAAAACTCTAATTTGAAGAGATACATGCACCCCAATGTTCACAGCAGCACCACTTACAGTAGCCAAGGCATGGAAACAACCTAAATGTCCACCAACAGATGACTAGATAAAGAAGTTGTTGTATACACATGCAATGGAATACTACTCAGCCATAAAAAAGAATAAAATAATGCCATTTGCAACAACATGGATAGACCTGGAGACTGTCATTCTAAGTGAAGTAAGCCAGAAAGAGAAAGAAAAATACCATATGATATCAGTTATATGTGGAATCTAAAAAAAAAGACACAAATGAATTTATTTACAAAACAGAAACAGACTCACAGACATAGAGAACAAACTTATAGTTACAGGGATAAAGGGGATGTGAAGGGATAAATTGGGAATTCAGAATTTGCACCTCTTGGGGAGTTATGGAAATGTTAAGTGTCTTGATTGTGGTGGTGGTTTCATTGGTGTACACATCTATCAGAATTAATCAAACTGTACATCTGAAATATGTGTAGTTTACTATACAGAAATTATATGACACATTTATAGTAAATAATAAGGGGCTGTAATTCTTTCCCCCCCAAATGCTGCATAATAAAGAAAAGGAATTGGAAGCCAAAAGATCAAGATTCAAGTCTGAACTCTACCACTTACTTAATCTGTCACTTTGAGCAAATTCCTTAGTCTCCCTGAGCTTTAGCTTCTGTATCTAGAAAAAGAGAGTCAGTAGCACTGATGCCACTGAGTAGGTGGCTATTATGAGCCAGGTGCTTTATATGTATTACATTTGATCTTAAAGCAAACTGCAAAGTGGCTATTGCTAGCCCCAATATACAGATGAAGAAACTGATGCTCAGAGAGGTTAAATAGCTTGCTCAGAGTGACACCACTAGGAAGAACCAAAGGGTCTGGAATCAAATCCTGACTCTAGCAATACTGTCAGTACAACCTCTGAATAAGGTATCTAACCTTCTTAGGCCTATTGCATGTTTTAGCTCCCAAAAATCATACAAAACCTAACTTCTAGAAGTTTTGAAATTTTACGAGTATTATATTACCAACTTACACCTTAAAGTAGACAGTTTACCTACAATGCTCTATATTAAATCTAATTCTACGTCTTTAGAGATTAGTAAAGAGGGAACGTGTTCTCCTCTCTGTATACTGTAATAATCTCAGTTGAGAAATCATAAATATAGAGAACTATCAGATTTTGAGCATGTTCCTTGAGTACAACAGTAACCATGAATTCTCTTCATTCTGCAGCAATTCCAATTCTGTTTTTGAACCAAACACATTCAATATATGGCACATCAGTTGATTATTAAACTTTCATTACCTTTGCTTCATTATCTCATGTAGTCTCCCATGTTGGACACACTGTTCCTCCAATTCATCATTTCTTCTCTGTAACTTTTCCAGTTTGTCATACGTATATCTTTTCTCTTGACTGAGCTGAGCTATTTCAGATCTTGAGAAGTGGAAACACAGAAGTGATAGATGTTAAAGGTCCTTATTATCAGAGCATGTTTTTACTGTATAACTTTATTTTCTTGAACTCCATATGTACACATGACAGTGTCAATAAAAATTACTTTATGTAAAATAAAAATATTTCAGAAATTATAAAATGTCTAGTAGAAGGATATATACACTGCAGGAACTCAAGTGGTAGACAAATAAAGGAACAACTTGATCTAACAGAGATGGCTTCCTCAGGGAACGAGGCAAAAATGATGATCAAATCCCATTGTAAAAAAGACTATCATTCATTTATCAAATATTTACTGAGTGTCTAGTATAGGCCAGCCACTATGCTATGACAGGGATAACCCCAGGCCTAACTTCTATGACAGAGAGTTATTTCTTTTATTTAACATCGCTAATTTAATGGCACATGATTAAATCATATCCTTTTTTTTTAAATGGCAGGTCTCTGCACCACTCCCTACCCCATCTCCAGCTTGTCAATGTAATTACCAATATTTGTTTGTAGTTACATCAGTATCAGTATTTATAACTACCTAAATATTGGTCCTTGCATTTGTGTACTTTTATTTTCCCCAAATGAGTGAGCTTTAGTGTAGGGTGATTGAGCGGCAAGCCGTCTTTCCTGACGGGAGATTCCTTATGTCTGTAATTCTTTCTCTTGTGGCCATTCCGTTTGTCAAAAGAAGGATTCTCCAGTTTTCTGCTAGTATATAACCCTTAACATCAGGGGTCCAAGAGCTGGTTGAAAGTAGAGGGGTGGTGAATCTCACCTTTCAGAATGTAGACTGTCTATTAACCCCTCTATTCTAACTTCAGTGCACCTATGTTAACCAGTGCCTGTGAGGTTAATCCCTTCAGAGAGGAAGACTCTAGTTTTCCGTGTGGAGGAGGGACAGTCACCTGGCAGCATGGGAAGGTGGGAGAGCTTTTGATTTTGGTTTCAGTCCTATGTTCCACTCCTGCCTTCCAAGTTCTTCTGGAATCCTGAGGGTAGATCAACTTTCTTCACATACAAGTACCCCTGTCTGCAGATAATTAAGATTCACCTTCCTCCACTTTGCTAAGTCAGGCACCATTCCCTGAATTTTCTTTTTGTCTTCACATATTTCATTTGGGATCACAGATACCTACTTTGGTGATGGTTGATGACGCTCAGGAAACGTGCTACCCCTCCAGGGTCTTGGATGACATCTCAAGTCTCAAAATTTGAAGATCAGAAAGATAGCTATCTAAGAAAAATTATATCTTTGTCCTTGTTTTAATTAAACACTGCTCCTTACTGCCACAATCTCCTCATACTCCACTGCCTCATAGGTTGGAAATGAAAGTTTAAAACTCTTGCAAATTAAAAAACGAGTAATTAACAATTGATTTGTTTCTTGAAGTTTACGTAATAAGACACCTGATATAAAATTACTTCCCTTCAAAGAAAGGATTCTTCCATTAGGCAGGGTAGTCTTTTTTTTTTTCCTGGAAAAGATTTGGATTTGCTAAGGGAACTCATCCCAAGGACCAAGCTGTTTCACATGACACGAAGCAATCACTTGCTTTTAGTTCACCTCATTTCTCATTTTGTTTTCATCTTGGTTCAAGTGTCATCTCAAAGGAAGCTTGCTTTGATTAATACCTTGCAGTTCTCAAAATGTCAGCACATTATCTGAAACTACCTCTAGCTTTTATGCACACATTAGCTTGTAATTTATCCCCCTGAACTGTACTCTGTGCCTCATCCTTCTTGCTAGATTACACATGAGGGCATGATTATCTCATTTTCAAGCTCAGATCAAGCACTCAATCTATATTTGCTTCTTTTAATAAGAATTTACTCATATTTGAAATATTCCAAATTAGTTAATAATGACTTATGTTTCTCTTTTCAAAATCATCTACAATATAAAAGATTTAGGGGCAATTTTTATGAGATTGTTAATTTAGTGTTCTTCCAGGATTAGTACCTCTTATCACAATATATACTCCACACTAAAATAAATTCCAAAAGGACAAAAAATATCCTAAAACCAATTAGAAAAAAAAAAAAGCAGAATATTTACCTGCTCTCAGTTACTTTTCCAGGTAAAAAGTCACTTTTTAAAAGAAAAATTACAAAGGAAACATAGAATTTATAATACAAAAATATAAAGCATTTACACCGCAAAAATCATGTTTTCATAAGAATGTTCACTGTAGCATTGTTTCTAGAAGCAACCTTGCTCTGCAACCCAATATCTAAAAACTTAACCCAGAAATTTATCAACAGAAGATTAGTTACAGCATTTAAAAAAAGAAATATCAAGATGTTATTCTGATAATGTGGTTATCTATTGGTGTTATTTATTGACTTAAAAATATGACATACTGGTAAAAAAGGAAAACATTAAAAAGCACCATAAAGTAATCCAATTTTATAAAATAAAAAATACTTTGACATGTATACTACATATTAATACTGATTATCTCTAGGTGTCAGGATTAGAAATTTTTTTTAAGTTTTCCTTTTCTGTATTTTTTGACTTTTTACAATGGACACGTATTTAAAATGAAAAAATATAGTCACTGTGATTTTGAAAAAAATTCATAAGAAACAAAAAGAACTGGGAACAAACTTTTCAAAATAAACAAAGAAGAACACATAAAAAATGAGACAAATATTAGAAGCATCATTTAATAAAGTGCTAACCCCACTTTTTATCAAAATTTCAATTAAAAAAAAGTACTAGGACTATGAACAATATTCACAGAGGAAGAAACATAAGTGGTCAATAAACATTTATAAAACATTTAATTTCACCACTATTCAAGGAAATGCCTACTAGAACCAGATTACAGCCAAACGTTTATTGCATGCCTACATTATGCCAGATAGTGGAATTCATTCTTTATACTAGTGATCTTAATTAATTCTACAAGGTAAGTGTTTATTCCCTTTTCTCTGTGAAGTAAATATGAGGTTTAATGATTTGCCTAAGGTCACCCAAACGGTGATTAGCCAAGCTCAGACACATACATTGGTCTGTTCAACTCTAAAGGGGTTGTTCTACCCACTGTGCAACACTGCCTCTCATTCCTTTTTTTTTTTTTTAATCTTTCACTTCTCTTTGTCACACACTGGTATGCATACATATATACTGAACAGAACTTAGTGTAGTACCTGAGCAAAGTCATAAACATTAACAGCCTTAAGAGGGTTCAGAGTCTTTAGACCAGCAATCCCCTTTTAGACAACTCAAGTGAGAATCATCAAAAATTCAGATCTATGCATAAAAGTATTATTATATTATTCATTACAGTTAGAAACAGCTAACAGTTCTGATGAATTATTATACACACAAATGATTCAATTAAAATGTTGGTTCCAGAGGATTTACTAATGTAGAAAAATGTTCATCAGATAATATTAAGTCAAAAAGCAGAATGCAAAACTGTGTACATAATATAAGCTCATTCACAACATAAATGCATGCGAACACATTTACCTACACATGGAAAATGACTGAAAGGAAATATATCAAAAGTTAGTTGGATGGTAACGTCACAGAAAATTTTTTTCTTACACTTCTTCGTACTTATATCCAAATGCTCTACATTAAGGATATCTTATATACATAATTTCAAAAATGTGTTATTTGTAAAGTACATATTACTATCAGGTACTTTATTGCTACAGAATTTTTCTGCTTTGCATATTTTATGTGTGTGTTTTTCTTTGTTTATAATGATAATTTGTCTACCAACTTCCAATGTTCAAGAAAAATTTCGTATATGTACGCGGACATCATCTTTTATCTGTCCAGAGCCCATGACATATTGAAAGCACTAGCAGTTTGCAAGTTTCAAAGAGTAAACTTATAAGCTTCTAGTTATCTTGAGGTTACATTTGTGGCATGATTATCCTAGCGTCATATAAAAGGATAATTGACTTTAATCCATTTTCATAGAAAATTTAGGTAATTTCTAGCTTTACAGAAGCATGAACTTCTCGCTGCATTTTTATATACCAGTTATATTGTGTAATTACATTTGCATGAAGTATAATATTTTACTACTATAATTAGCATTACAGTGATAATTGCATTTTAAGGAAAAACATGACCCCTTAATTTTTTATTCTTTTAGATTCTCATTAGACTTTTGGTAACAATTAGCAGAGGCCAATATCAGTTTCTTCTTGTAGAATATAATTTTGTAGCATCCCAATCTAACATCATCTAAACATGCAAGGGAAAAAAAAAACTGTTCAACGGAGTCTGTGTTCTTTACTTCAATTAAACTCACACAGTTGGATACCTACTGTTGCCAAAACAGTAATATAATTTATACATTATAGTCCACACAGTAAAACTACACTAAAAGTCATTTAACAATATTTATAACACCATAAAATACAGTGTTAAAATATATGAACTGCAATATGTACCAAAATTATAAAATTTGTTTCTCATCATCAGTGATTAAAACCAGGATCATTGCTCTAGCCTCAATACTCACAACCCTGGTGACAGATTAGAATTCAAATCTTAATGATCAATTTACAATTAACAAGATAGAAGTGAAACAAATTAAACCAACCATTATATATAACGAGACCCAGTGGACTCCCATTGTTCCTCTTAATTACAAAGCGCAAATCACAAATACACAATGGGTAGTGGTAGACATCAATCCACAAGCCTAGCAACCCAGAAAGCGACAATGACAGGAAAGAAAGAAGCGAAGTAAAACCACATAAACCCAGGTCTACGCTCTATGCCCTGCTCTTTGCAGTGGAGGCACAAGGGTTGTGAGGTGAAAACCCAGCACAAGTGGGACCTTCGTTCTTGAGCTGGCAGAGGCTCACTCCTAGCCAGCACCCAACCTTTCCCAGCTCTTCCCAGGCCACGTTTCAGATCGCACTACAAACTACACTGCAAACATTTTAGTGCTGATTCATCTAAACGCCTGGGGAAAGGGAACACTTCCTTCACTTTGATAGAGAAAAATCACAGTCGCACCAAAGATATTTAAATATCTCCATTTACCAACTTCAAAAACAACCTTATCACTGTAATAAGCTCTCCGAGTCCTGGGGAATAAAGACAAAAGGGAGCTAACGTTTGTGAGTTTCGTCTAAAATCAAACAGAATGTCTATCTGGTGCTAATTAAAAGCAAAATGGAATTAATTCTCTTGTCTGATCGTCAAAAACAGGCTATATAAAACACATGGAATTGCCAGTTCACTCTTAGTTTTAAAATGGGATGTGCCATTCACAAACCCTGGGGTTACAGACACCGCAGAGCAGTGTGGAAGGCACACAGCGCAGGAAGCACTGGCTCAGCACTGTGGAGGGCTTGCTGAGAACAGAAGTAAGAGGCACTGCCTCTCACACGATGCGACTCACGTCTCCTTGCGGGGAAACACATACAACAGACACACACGGGGAGGAACCATTTCTAAACACTTTCACAAAGCAGCCTAGCATGAGGACGGGGTAAAGAGCAAGAGTGTCTGGGAACGATGCTCCCAGACTGTCAGCTTTCCCAGTGATTCTGCAGGGGCTCTAGTAAAAGGACTAGTTCTCTGAGCTCCAAAAAAGCTATTTTAAATGGTTTAAATGGTATGACTCTGTTTGTTTAGTATGGGATTTTGAATAACATGAAACTCTTAGACCAAAAAAAATGTTTTAAATTGTTGGTCAACATGGAATAAATACACCTACTTTCAGGAAAAATTTTACTACAGTTTATTTCGAGGAAAACCTGGATTAAAACTAACATATGGTTTAAATAATTATTTTGGAGACTGAGCTTCCACAATGACAACACTTTAGAAAGCTCAAAAAACTTCAAGATTTTCTCATCTCAAAACACAAGGAAAATGAATTATCCCAAAAGTTGGGTAGAGGGTCTGGAGAGCCTCATTCCTGGAGGGCTTCTACAAGGCTTAGTAAGTTTATGGTTTTTATATATTTAAAAAGAAACACTTGGAGACTGTCATATTTTACAGGTGCTTTCAAAGCAAAGGTAATATCAAAATGGAATGTCTTCGTGTAGGAAGCCACAGGGAAATGAGACTGGACTGACCAGAAATTAAGAGTAAACAACCAAACAAACAAACAAAAAACCCAAATCATACAATTTATCCTATCAATTTCTTGTGAGACACACACAAAATGCATATTTTTGTAAACTTCAGGGGCCCTTAAAAGTTTTAGCAATAAGAAGTAACAATTTATCTCGTCTTTACTATTTGCTAGGTTTTTGTTTTGGATCAATTTGTAAAGTTACAGTAAATGCGTATTTTGACTCTTCAGATTCACAAAACAAGGTGCCAGAGCAGGACCTGGAACACAATCAAATCCACATTTTCCTGATCCCGTATTGCCTTGAAAAAGGTTTTCATTGTGGTACAGCCCTTACGTCTGTCTGAAAACTACGACACTCAGACGCTGGCAAGGCCAGTAACACCTCGGTGAAGGGGTATCCTAACTGCCAGTCAAGAGCCTTAAAATGATGCCATCAGTGACAGCAACAGCCCCTGCTGGATACTTCTGTGCGTCAGGCACTGTGTCAGGTGCTGTGTGTACGTATGCACCTATATATTTCTTTCCATTTCTCATTCCCACAACAATTCTCAACGTGGTTTTGAAATGCCTTTACAGATGGAGAAGCTGAGGTCTGGATAGATTAAGCGATGTACCCAAGGTTATGAAGCTAAGTGGCAGAGCGAGATTCAAACCCTCTTCTTTCTGAATTCCAAAGTGTCTTTTACTGCACACTTCCTGTCATCAACAAAGGAATAGTCTGGAACCAGAGTCAGATCAGGATATGGGGGGTAGCACCACACTTGTCTATTTCATTCATTCGTTCAATAAATATGTATGGAGTGCCATCTGTGTGTCAGACATAAAGGAACACACTCCATTTACAGAGTAGCAGTCAGGAGCTAGGAGAATCAGAAGTGAGAGGGGCTGAAGAGAGGTGGAGATTCAAGTTCACTAGACCAGAACGAAGTAAGCTGATAGACCTAGAGCCTGGAAGGCGTCGGGGCAAGGGCACAGGTTGACTCAGACTCACAGGTTAACCCTCACATGTCAAATATGTTTACTTCTCCACGGGAATTTTAAGATTAATTTTTCTTTCCTAAACTTTCCCATCATAACTACTTTGGCCTGAATTTTCTTTAGTAGTAGATATAAAGCATTATACTTATTGTAAGAAAGATCACAGGCTTTGAACCAGAAATATCTAAGTTCGAACTCTAGTGCTCCCACTTGCTAGCTACTTAAACACTCTGAGTGTTAGTTTCGTCATCTGTAAAAGAAGATAACAATTCCTGTCTCAAGCCGTCGTGAGAATTAATATATACCAAGCATATAGCATCTTTTTCTCTTTTACATACTTCCTGAATTATGTCTCCTTAGACATCAAGATAAGTAAATCAATGATCAACCCCAAAGCAATCTTAACAGAATCTTTTAAGCCCCAGTTCAGAATATTTTTTCTTAAATTACTAATCCAGTTTGTTTGTTTGTATCTATGTGAAGCAAATAAAATATTTCTAGTTAGGAATACCTGCCGTTGATATGTTATGAGGGTCTCTTCCATGCAAAATCATTTGAGTTTCCTAATCAAATTTCCTGAAAATACCAGGTATTCTGGCACCTGGAGCTTTTTCCCTACCCAAACAAGATATTTAATTAGTATTTGCTAAGAAGGTGCATGGTCAGAGTATATCTGGGGTGGTTGTAAGAGCTTCTGCCTTCCTGTGAGCAGAAAGAATTGAATTCATAAGTCCCAAAAGATTCAGGGAGGGGGATTCCATCAGCTAAGCCAGCTCATTGATGCAGGAACCAAAGACAGGGGTCAGAGGGATCAGATATACTCTGACTCTCATGAAAATTCTTTCTGAATGAGACACTTAAGTCAGTAGTTGGTTTGCCGAGCCCTATTGGTTGCTCTTTGTAGATCTAAGTGAGTTTCAGAAAAATGCAGAAGAGAAGATATACAGGTTATTTTCTCACTAGGTTATACTGTAACGTGATATTTGATTCCTAGCTATTTAAGTGAATGATTTCTTTTGAGTTCAACTCAAAGGGATTCTGTTCAACATCATTCATATACAAGAGGAAACCACAATCCAAGCAGGTCAAATGAATTTGTCCAAGATTAGTAACTGTCAGAGCTGAGAACTCAGGCTTCTTAGAATCTAGAATATAAAATAATTCATTTATTGAGATAGCTTGATCTAAAAATATGCAGAAAAAATTCATTAAGATTCCAGTCAATGGATTTATAAAAGAGCAGTACACCTATAAAATGAATGATGGCTGTTTCATTAAAATAAAACAATTTTAGGAAAAGGAAAATATGACTTTGGTTTATTTCAAAGTATCATCTAGTTTTATTTATTTTTTTTTTATCTATTACCATTTGATTTAAAGACAGCTATTGTGCATTCATGGAGAACTATGATAATAGGTTAAAATATATTAGCTGTGTCAAAATAAAACTTATTAGAATAATTGCCATCTTGACCTTTGTGTTCTGAAATTTCTGAGTTTTCAACTCTGAACAGGAAAAAAGTCAAATAATAGTATGTATTCTTAATCATGAAAAGACACCAAGGCATCTGTATGGACAATTAAGAAAATGTTCACAGAGAGAAAATATTTTTACAAGAAATATGTCAATACACATCTAATTTTAACATTAGACTACAAAATAGTGAAAATGTTGTCTTCTAAGAAAAAAAATTACAGTATTCACACAAACAATGCTCTGAAAGTATCATATAATATTACCTACCTGCTTTTCTGAGACATTTGTTCCAGTTTCTTGGCTAATGTACAGCACTCTTCCTTTAACTTTGTCAGACATGTATTCTGGGAGGTCAGCAATGAGTACTGTTCATTTTCTAGAAATAACAATAACCCCCCCCAACATCAGATGTTTATGGCTGTAGATCTGCAGTGCTTCCACATGGATAGTGGCTGACACTAGATCACTTTCAAGGTCCTAGGTCAAAGGGCTGCTCATCCGGCAAGACACTAAACCTTGTGAGACATTTATTTTCTTAATAATTAGACACCAGAAACATTTTTGACTATACGAGCTTTGTGTGATTGTTAACTTGTTAGTAAACTGTCAGACACCTCGAGTGGAGACACAGGTGCTTATGTAATATGCAAGATACTATATTTTTATTTTGGCAATTTTACTATAAAGAGAGTATCAAAAGTTATCACAACCAGATAATTCAAAACTGAAATAATTGAAGAATTCTCTTCTATACTGTAATTTATGCTTTGTTTCGTATTTGCTTTCATAGTTCACTACTCCCATCTCACATACACTTCTCTAATTATGAAGGCAAAATAAATCATTTTCCATTAATTTTTATTTCATTGTCAACAGTGTGAGCTTTAGTGAAAATCTGATCAAAGAAACTGAAGAGAGTGTCGTATTTTTGTGCAAAATAAGAGGATGTATTCTTGTGGTGGCTCAGTTAATACTCTTACCTAGCCCTCAGAGATACTGCCCAAGGCTCCGTGATCACCAGGACCCTGCTAGCAGCAGGGAAAACTACAATTCATCCTTTAATTTCCTCTTTCTGTATTTAGTGGGAAAACCACCACCAAGTCTGGTGAATTTTCATTTCTTCTGGCCAAACACTGTGAGAAGAAAATCTACTGAAAGTGCTGGAGTGAACCTTATGGCTCTATGTGACATTTGCCTCCTTATTAGTAAATAGATTATTTAATGAATTGTATGTTAGCAATTTTTCACCTGGAGGATAAGCAACCGTTTTTTTTTTTTTACCACGTCATCAAATATAGTATGCATTAAATCACATGAAAATTATCTTTAGGTGAAAGGTTTAATAGGCACTTTCTTTCTTTCCAGTTTTAGCTAATGATTGGCAAAAAGCACACAGCATACCAAGCAAAATAAATCAAGGCACTAAAAATTAAGCAACATTTTTCTGGAAGAGACAGGATCAATTAAACTTTTGTTTCAATAGTACAATCAGCTTGGAGTATGTGGTGTGGAATTATAATGACTGGCACTGTCTTGTTTTGACTAACACTGTCTGTGAACACACAACTCAAAAGTGAAAGGAACTACATAATGCTCCGACGGAACAAATCAAACTGCCTATTTTCAAAGTGCATTTTACTTTCAAATTAAAGGTAAAGAGTTACTGGCCAACTCAGTCTGCAGAATAGCGCCAACGTGATGAAAGATGGCAATTTTTAGCCAAGCTGCCAGCTGTGGTCAATGCCTTATATTAGTGAATTTCAACAGCAGTTGTGAGAACTTGAAGAATGCAAAGGATTAAACATCACTCTGGACTGGGTTGGGGGAGGTGGGGAAATCATACAAATGCTAAAAATGTTCGAAGCTGCAAAGATTAAATAAAGGAACATATCAATTTGGAGCCACTGAATTACATCCAGCTGCGACAGTGAATTAAGAACCGATTAATGGCTAAAGCTTTTCTCCAGTTTGGATGCTGAAGCAAACTCATTAGGCTTTTAGAGCAGCTATAATGTGTGTACTGTGGGAACTGTTCAGCGCTATTCAGGAGGCTCTAACTGTAAGCGCGGAGCGTTTCCCGCAGAGATTCTGATGCTTTTTTCTTTATATAACATGTGTGCCTGAAAACCCAGCCAAAAACAAGCCCTTTGTTTTTCTACTTTGTTGTGGTCTCTCTCAGCTTTACGTTTCTTGAACACAGGTAAATAAACTCATAATCCAGATGGTGCAACAGATGTGAGAGCAGCACTCTGAAATCAACAGACAGTGGGCAATACTTTCCATTTTCTCTTTTAAACGCTAACTAATATGTAATTCGGAATCTCCGGTGTAGTTAGCATCTGCTCCCTTCGGCCAGCCAAAGGTTACAGGTGTTCCTGATGTCATTTCACAGTAAGGCGTGGGCCTGGCTTGTGAGCCAGCGCCCGGGCTCTAATCCTTCCCTACCACCTACCAGTTTTGTCATGCTGGGCCTCCATTTGCTGTATCTTCTGTGTCAGCTCCTGCTCTCTTTGCTGGGCCTGAAGGGCTTGGGCCTTCGCGTCGTTGCTAAAGCTTTGCTGAATGCTGTCTTTTTCCAGTCTACAAGGCAGGGAGGAGACAGACAGAAATTTAATCTACAGATGCACGAACCCCCATCATTTCCCCTGCAGACCACAGAGAGCTTATATGTAGTAAATTGTTAAGCCTAAGTAGCTAACAATCTCTCTACAGACTCCCCCTGACTTGAAGGGGAAAATCCAAAGAAACTTTCATTTCATACAGCGTTAAATACATACCATAAATCCAAATGGACGAAAGCAAGCAACTTTAAAAACCAAAAACCCGTAACAACTGAATTAACAGTATTTTATAATTTTAAAACACACACACCGTTTTCTATAACATTCTCAATGTTTTGTACCACCCACTCATCTTTTTTCTCCTGAATGGTCAATATTTCCTAAAGATCTGGGGCTACAGGAACAGTATGACTCAATACACCAAACCTTAAATTCTTGAAACTAAGCTTTGTAGATCACCTCTGCTTTTCCTCTCAAACTTAAAATGGAATCTCAAATATAATGTAGGAGAGTCTATCTGGAGGCAAGTAAATGATTCTGCAGTACCACATGCATGCTTTGGTTAGGTATTTTCACACATTAGGCCATTTAATTTGAATATAAATATGAAAATGAAAAACTTCATAATAAAATCTCTCTTGGGCCACACTGAAAGAAACTGCAGGGCGAGAAGCTTCTGCAGTCAAAGACAGTATCTCATCCCACTATGACTGGATATTGACCCAATGGGATGGGTCAATATCCAGTCACAGTGGCTCCTAAAGAGAGAGAGAAACTTCCTGAACAATTAGAACCTGAAGAATGCAGGGGACTTCATCACTGGCCCCACCGTGGCTACTAACACTGTGTGCCAGCACGCATGCATGCGTGCGTGCATACACACACACACACACTAGACTGGTTTCCTCATACTCTAAATGTGGGTAAGTGACATGAGGGTTTCCTTCAATTAACTGCCTTAGTAATTCCTAACTCCTAATCTCCTTGTGGGCATTTCTCATCCATGCTGCTTTAGTTTACTAATTGAGATATTTACTGTCTTGCCTTTGCCAAACTAAAAATAAACAATTCCATAAACCTATCACTACTAGTCCATGTACCGCTGTGGAACTTCAATGCACTGCCTTCTAATTATAAAGCGACATAAGGAAAGCCTGCATTGAAATCGGTCAATGCATGCTGTAATGTTGTAGTATAAAATTCCAGAATGAAAACACACCCACACCTCACTCAAATGGATCATCAGGGTTCCTCGCTAAACATGAAACAAGGTTCCTTATGGTACTTCTAATAACAATACCCCTTGGATCTGCTCCAAGGTCTTGCCTCACACGCAGCTCCAAACTGGTACATTGAAACAAACGGATAGTCAGACTAGGCCACTTTTTGCCTCCGCAGCCACACTATGTATTTTCTGGCCATGGATGACTTCACATGTTTCTGTGTTTTCCTGGGATGTCTCCCCCACCTCCATCTCACCTCCCTCTGCCCCCCACCAACCCCTGGCCCCTCTGCTCAATGTATACTAGTCCTTTGGGACCTGCTCAAAATTCTCCCTCTCTCTCTCCTAAATTAACCCTTCTTTCCTCAGTGACATCAAAATACATTGAGTATGTGTGCCTCTACCTACTAAGAGAGCATTCATCACACTTTGGTTATTGGTTTATTGTCTGTCTCTCTACACCCTGAGCCCAGCTGAGTATGTGGCACATAGGAATTGTGCAGTGGATGTTTACTGAATGAACGTACACTTGCCACAGGGGGAACAAAGGCCGCGGTATTTAAGTGAGGCTGCAGAATCTGCTCGTCTTATATGAGAGGCAAAAACTTTTCAGACATGTTTTTAAAAAGAGAAGAGAATGGCTCTAATGGTGTTGCCAGCTGGAGATGCTGCTGCCGACAGGGTCAGCTTAAAGAGTAACCACCTCCAACACAGACCTCAAACTACAGCAGGGGACACACGGAGGGGACCTAGGACGCTGAGATTCCTCAATAGCCAGGTGACCATAAAATGCATTGTTCAAAACCAATACCCCTTTGAGAGTGGAAAGGGGCACAGTTAGTAATAACACCAAGACAGTCATAATCAGGAGCACCCTTTGTAAACTGCGGCTTTTGGTTCCCTTACACAAAGGGGTTACAAGTCTCACCGATGATTTTCAGAATGAGGAGCTACCTAATTACTGATCTCCTAAATCTCCTGAAGAATGACTGTCTTACTGTAGTTCTCCCTGTGAAACAGAACAACTTAAAAGAATGCCCTACCAACAGATGTTTCTACACGTCAACTTTTGTTTCTTGAGTTCTCCCCCAACTTTTATTCTATTTAAGAAACGACACATTTTATTTTTCATTGCATAGAAACATGGCATAATTTTGCTTTCCTACCTCCTTTTCATACCCTTTTCCTCCTCTGTTGTCCTCTCCCCTTGCAGGTTCTTTATGACTTAATAGGCGTTAGAACCAAAAGGGAATCTCAAATTTGTTTAATCAAATCCTCTCATATTACAGATGGAAAAAAAAAAAGAGGGCCATAAAGAATTAGAGATCTGCTCAAAGTTTACTGTAAGTGCTGTCAAGGCAGAAGTGGGATTTGAAATATTTTGATTTAGGCAACCTATTTTATAATACTCTAGAGGTAATGCATAGTGGGTTGAAAGAATTAATAAAAATCACTCAGATATTCAAGGAAGGGATTAGAGAAGAAGCCAAATCAATTCATTTAATATTTATCATAACTCCATTATGTGCAAGACACTCTGCTAGCCATGGGTCAAATAAAGGTAGATGAATACGGCATAGTCCTCGCCCTCGCAGGAATTCAAAATGGCCAAATGAGAAAGTAGAACTTGAACTACACCACAAGAAAGGTACTAAGGGATTAAACCACCAAAGCACAGGGAAATGAGAGTCCAGTTCCAGCTGGGTGTGAGAGCCTCATGAAGGAGAGCTGGGGCCAGTCTTCCCCAACTGTTTTTCATTCAGTTCTCACTCAAAACAGCGATGATCTCATCTAACCACACTTACAGTTAGCCATGTTTTGCAAACCGGAATGAAAGCAATGGTAGGAAAGAACTTTTCGGTTGTTATTAAAATACGGCTGAAAGATTTATTCATAATAGCTGAGACCTGGAAATCACCTACATGTCCATTAACTGCAAAATAGATAAATAAATTGTGGTAAAGCCTTCCAATAGAATAGCAGGAATAGCAACAACAAAAAGGAACAAGCTACTGTTATGTACGACGCCTGGATGAATAGCAAAGGCAGAATGCTTGGTTAAAGCAGCCGGGCACCACAGACATATACTAGGATCTCATTTACATGGCATTCTAGAGAAGTAAACACTGGAGTCACAGATCAGTGTTTCCAGGACCTGGAGGTAGGGGGTGGGGGCAAGGGAGCTTTATGTACCTGGGTTGATACATTTAAAGTTTTGCTACTGTATTGAAGGACTAAAAGTCTTCGATGATCCTAGGTTCATCAGTGAATGTGGGAAGGAAACGATGAAAGCCTGGACTCTAACCTGAGGACAAGGACCTGGTAGTGGCAGTAATTTGAGCCACCAATCCTGTCTGCCATGCTTCTATTCGCCTTTTTACTGGAGACTTAAGTTCTAGCAGTAGACACAACCCTTTTGGTTAAAAAGTGTCTCCCTTTTAAGTACAATACAGAGAACTTTGTGACAGTACCATATTGGTGTAACAAAATTTACGACACCACTTTTAACACGATTACTAGTTGAGAGCCATTCTTGATGGAATTACAGAAAGAAGCAACAGGGAGGTGTGGGGTGCTAATGTGAATTAAGACACATAATGTCCACTTGTCCCAATCTTGGTAATACTATCTTCGATCACTGGGTTGATGTTATTGGTGTGTTGAAAATGTTTCAAAATTGGTTTGGGGGCATCCCTCATTTGCAGTGTTTACCAGTTTTCAGCATAAATACTTCCACGAGGACCGATTTTAAGCTACCATAGTGACATTGCTGAACAAAGCTGGGAAGAAGTACACACAATTAGCTTACATGAGCTGGTACAAGCCAGCCTCAGCATACCACGGGTTAGGTGGTCTCTCCTGGGCTTCTTTACTGTAATGTTACTATTTCTCTTTCTGTAATTAATAGGTAATTTGCTAGAGATGCTAAGACCGTGCAATTATCCTTTTCCTCATCCAACTCTTAGCTACTAGTTTTACATCCAGTGATGGCTTTTCTACTCTATCTTTCTTATTTATTAGTTAACATTGTGCTGTAAGAAAAAACTTGCCTTTCTCTCCCCTGTATTAATTTACTGCTATCAGCGTGGAGTCATGGATTCGTATTTTATTCACTGGGTTATAATCCATTATAATCATTACTTATTTTTATGTTCAACTCATCATAAATTTGGCTGGTGAGAGCCTCATTTAAGCTGGCTCCTGTGTGATATATCTCCATTATTCTTGTGCACCCCTTGACATTCTATCCCCACAAGATGTTCCAGGTTCATCTTGTGTTCTTCTTTACCAGTCTTGGAATCAGCATTTGCCCCAGGAGCTCTTGTCCCTTTTAGTGGAAAATGATATTTAGAAGCCAAGATCTGTCACTAGCTGGTGCTCATTGCTACTGACAAGTCTTTGCTTCTAGGTCACCTTAGCAGACAGAGCCAGTATATAAACAAACATATAAACAGATAGATATGAATATGAATATGAATATTTGCCTATATGTCTCTATATGAATACATACACACACACTCAAACTGATGTCTCTAATTCTAGTCCAACAACACAAAGAGAACCTAATCTTCCCCCTTTCTGTAAGTGTAAGATTCTTCCTCAAAATTGAGAAACTTGGGACCCATTATCTTTAACATACTCATTTTCTGAAACTTAGTAGACAGAGAACATACTTTCAAAACAGGCAATCCACTGTGGGAAGCAAATCTATGAGTAACTAGAATTAAATATTTAAGTACAGTTTTGTTTTAAAATGCATACACATATTTTTCACTTGATTCTTGATTCTCTTTGTGTTCTGTGAAAACCACACTTTTTTTTTTTAACCGTATCTTGAGAGCCAATGGAGCACAACAGAAAACTCAGAGCTAGCAGGTCAAAGTATAGCATTTACCTCCTTATTACCTATGTGACCACGAACAAGTAGCTTGACTCTTTTAATCCAAGAGCTCTTCGTGAAAATAGGGCAGGAAAAAAAAATCCTACCTTAAAGGGTCAATAATTTCAGTAACCTATTACTTATGAATGTTCACCTTTACATATATTATTCTATTTAATCTCACACAACTCTAAGAGGTAGGTTCTCTTATTTTCCTTACTTTATTAATGAGGAAACTGAGGCCTAGAGAGGCTGTACAATTTGTTCAAAGTCCCTCAGTTACCAAGGGACATAGTCAGGAAATTTGGGCCCACCTGAATCTAAAGTCCACAGTATGAATCTCTATGCTTCAATATCTTACTCTATCAGGGATGCAGAGAAATGAGATAAAGGATAACCAGAGTCTTATTTCAATTACCCATGTGTGTGTGTGTGATTTAATACCTATATTATCCATCTTGACTGCCCAACCCCAAGCTAGCTCTCCTTCTCCTTTCCCATTTGTCTCATATGTTATTGGATCACTTCCTCCTACAATGACACCATCAACTGGTTGTATCCTGAACTTAGCAAAGACTGAACTTAGCAAAAACACTAAAGCACAGAAATACATCTCCTGCTTCAAGCTGGCCACAGACTCTGAGGGAAGGTAACACATGCACATCTTACTTGGGACATAACTGACAGAAGAAGAGACACCTTCGTTTTGCTCACTGATTTATCCCAACAGCCTGGAATGGTGCGTGGAACACAGTTGCGTGGCCAACAAATATTTGATGAATGAATGAATGAACGACTGCTAAGAGACAGAAGGTACTAAGTGTCCTTACAGGCCTGCGGATCCTCCTGTCTACTGATCAGAAGAAGAGAATGGGATGTGATAATCTCTATTCTAGCCAATAATTTAATTTTGTTTTATTATTGCTATTGACAACATAAACAAAATAAAAATAATAATCACGTTATGGGGTCTTCCACGTTTGAGAAGAACCAAAAGCCCTGTACTTGTTTACCACTAACGGGGACTATGTTCTCATATTTGAGCAAATGTAGAAATACATGCATGGAACAAATGGGAAAAGGAAAATACAAGAGGACTAGGATTCAGTAACCCCTACTTCCTCAAGTATGGAAAAAACTTCATGGCATCATACACATTTCCTAGAGTAAATTATTTCTATTTTCTTCACTGCAAAATATGTCCAAATTTTAAGTACAATGTTGAAAGATGAGTTATCAGATCAGAGCATGAGTCACTTCTAAGAAAGGAAGCAGAAACAAAGGAGGTCAAATTCTTTCAAAGGCATAGACACAAAAGAAAAGAAGTAATTAACAGAACCTTCCCTAAAAATATCCTCCCTTCCAAAATATTCTCTTACAGTATCTCCAAAATAATTTGAAAATGCTAACCTTCAAAGCCAAGGAGGGTGTGCTTGACTAGCTAGTGCTTGCTTCTACTACACCTTCTGCACAACTCACGTCACTTAAGACAAAACCACAGACTCTTACCATCTCATCGTCTTTCACATGTCTGTTATTTCTATGTTGCAAAGCACATTCAAATGCACTGATCCCTCTGTTCTTCAGAACAGGTCTATAAGGCAGGGAGACGGATATCCTTGTTTGACTCAGAGAATTAAGATATTTGCCCGACGCCACACAGTTAGAAGTAAGTCCAGGGTCCTTCCCACCCCATGGCATCGACTTCTATGAGGAGTCTAGTCCAACGCTATTGCTCGTCCAGTCAACAAACACTTAAAACACCTACCGTGTGCCAGGCACAAAAGGGTGGAGATGCATCAAAGCATGAAAGACGTAGACCACGACCATCCCTTCAAAGGGTTCATGGTCTAGTGAAGAAAACAGACAAGAAAGAATAACTAAATTAGTAAGGTAAATATTAAAGTGGGAACAAATTCCTGCTATCATACAGTCAATGGGACAGGAGCAGGGGATTGGTTACACACTGTTGAGGGAGGATTTCAGAAAGCTGAAAATATTAGAGGCTTAAAATGAGTAGTAATTAGCCATATAATGAATGAGAAGAATACTGTTTCAAGTGAAGTGGACACTGTGTGCAATGGCCCCGGAAGGAGAGAGAATTAGGTGCCTTCGGAAAACTGCAAACAGCTCTGGCACGACCGGAGGGTGGGATACATGTGCTGTGGGGTGGATGTGAGCAGTTGGTGGAGGGGAGACTGAAGAAAGAGGAGACTGGAGATGTAGGCAGGAGCCAGAACATGAAGCTATTTTTAAGGACTTCATCCCGAGGGAAATAGGGAGCCAATGTAGGGTTTTAAGCAGGGGAGTGTTGTGATCACACCCGAGCTTTAGAAAGATCACTCTGGCGGCGGCGTGGGGAACAGATGGGGAAGGGACAACATTAGAAGCAGCGAGAGCACTTATTACTACAGCAAGAGCAAGAGCAATTTCTGTAATCGTTTCTTAGATAGAGTAGCCACCACGGGTAGACCCTGAGACCGAACAGCCATCAAAGGCACACTTGAGAATTTTCAGCCTTAAATTTTTTTTAAGCAGCTCATGAGTCTCACAGGCGTTAAGTGCTTGCATGGATCAAAGTTCCTGGGAGAATGTCAGGCCCTCCTTACTATATTTTACAACATCATGGGCCCAATTCTAAAGACTAAAGAAGATGAACAAACATGCTATTGCATCTAATAAAGAGGTCAGGATTTTTGCCTTTGCACCTTCGTATTGTCAAAATACTCATATTTCCATCTCTGACTTTTCTGTGTAAACTAATCACTTTGGACCACCCTTGCCTTTCCTTCCTGAAAATATCAGCATGTCTGCATACTCCCAATAATTAATCCTTCTGACGACTAACTGCAAATTAGACATTAGTAGGATCAATATAGGTATTATAGTGGCATTTCTGTAACCTGTCAGTGGCTCTGAGTCATTGTCAAATTACAGTACAACTGATTGAAAAGAATTTCTATTCTATTATAAAAATGTTTTTGAAATTAATTTGTAGGTTCCATTATTAAACGGGGAACAAGCTGCTTACTCTGTGGCTATTAAAATGATTCAGAAATATGCTATTATTATTATATTACCATTGTTAAGTACATTTCACTGTATATCTTATTTCTCAAGCATAACAGAGTAATGCTTCATTTATCTGGAATGTTGGGAGATGAGATGCTCCACGAAAGATAATTTTCCAGGCATCAGACCCACAGAAATCTGACTATATGCAGTATATGCAGTAGAAATATGTCTAAAATATACTAATTATGTGTCTGCTCCCTTAACTACACCGAATACAACAAACTCTTCATAATCGAGGCTTATGCTTTCAAATGAGGTTGGCTGCTTGCTGCTGCTGCTCCCTCTGCTAGGACGCTCTTAGGAATCGCTGCTCACTGTTGTATCTTCAGGAGTCTAACACAGTGGCTGGAGACAGCAGGCACTCAATACTGTTTGCTGTATGAAAGGACTCAGATGCTACTCGAAAGAAACAGAAAGCATTCACAAGCACCGATCTGCTTCTCATAATTTTTTAATTGGTTGTTCTGCCATGATTTGCTGCCATGTTTTCTGTTTTGTTATGTTTTGACTTTTTTTTAAATATATAAACGTGATGCTCAGGATAGTCCCATTGATTCTACACAGAAATGTGCAAGGACTTTGCGATAGTTATTTGCTTCTTAAAGGTACTTCTTAATTTATACCTCAGTTCATGGCTGTGTGTCAAACGGCTGAATTTTCCAGAAGTCTGAGTCTGAGGAAGTGGGGAAGTGCTGTAATGAAGATAGAAGGGTTTTCATTGTTCTGAACTGGTGGCCTTTGGTCAAATATCCAGCATCTTTGTACAAAGAAACTAGGATTGTGATCTACTGACTGACCTTGGCCTGATAACAGAAACACAGTTCGTTCATTTTTGAAGCCTGATTGAGATCTCTGTAACCTTTCCATTGTTCCACAAAATTCTGGAGCTGAAAAGTGCTGCACTTGAGAAAAAACTGACCTGAGGCTAAGTTTTCAGATTCTTACTCCAGTACAATTCTCACCCTTCTAAAAAAGACAATCATTGTTCTTGTCACAGTAATTAGATCGTTTTCCTCATCAAAACATTCCTCCTTTTAGTCACTTTATGATACAATGTTATTTCTATCTGGCTTGTAACACTTGCTTGTCGCCAGTCTTATCTACATCCTTCACTGCTTCCTCTGCTTCAGCAACATAAGTGTTTGCTGGATTTGCTTCTTCCTCAAGGCGGTTCTAAGCCACCGTCCTTGTCACTCCTACAGCCGCAGAGCTGCCCTTCCAATTCCTGAAAGCCTGCTTTTACCTTTACTGTAAGTCTGTATTCAAACTCATCTCTACCAGCTAGCCTGTCCTGAGCCTACCCAAACCAGAGAAATTTGTGCCCTGAAAAAGGAATATAAGCAACTAAAATCCTAAAATACATGTAAAAACAATGTCGTACTTTTGGCCTTTATCCCTTAGTACATAAGCTCCATTGCCAGCAGGGCTGGGATGGTTATTCCTTTGTACACAAGAAAGTGGGGGTTAAGAACACAGAGTCTGGTGTCAGCCCGACTTGGCATCAGAATCCCAGTACCTCCTCTTACCAGCCGTGTACGCTAATCCAGTCACTTACCCTATGACTCAGTTTCTCGAATGTGAAACGGGGTTAGAAACAGCACCTCTCCTTATAGGACTACCAGGATGTCGTGTGTGAAATACACTTAGTGTAGCACCGATACACCACAAGTGCTCAAAAATATTCATCAGTGCCATTGTTACTGCCATCCTTACTACTTCCTAAGAGGTGACTACTCAAAATGTAACAATCAATGTAATTATCTCAAAGACAAAGAACCCTGAGGAAAGAATTTAAAACTTATGGATAAAAACTACACAGAGGGAGGTGTGGGCTTGGGCTTCGGACACACACAGTCTAGATTTGAACCCTGACTCCACCACGTCCTAGGCATGACATCAGAGTGGATCCTCAGTCTACGGTTCATTTTATCATTTAATAAACTGATATTATCAGAATATGTGAGATAGTCTACATAAAGCAACCAGAAATGTCCAGCCCAGACCACCATCTGAAAGGTGTCCAAATTCAACTAATGGGCTGGCATCTAATTATCTGTCAAACTTACTTTCCACAGCACTGAATACGGCAAGGTAAAGGTGGGGCAGGAAGAGATGGAAGAATGCATCGTGATGGGCCGCGGCTATAGCTGACTGTTCGGCTGCTTTCTCTAACCTCCTCCTCCTCCTCTCAAAGTAACAGCTCCTCAGAAGAAAAATGAGCCATGAGCCAAAGTTAGTCCTGGCTACCCGCTTCAGATTCTTTAAAAAGCTGACATGATTTTCTTGTTTGTATAGAGTGGCTCCAATAATTGTAGAAATAGACTTTAGGATTCATGACTGCATCTACGCTGGGCATTGTGGGAAAGCCAGGGAAACTGAGGAACAGAAGGGCCAGTCAGTGGCTGGTGCTGCAGCCGCTGGCCATACGGGGCTGCTGAACACTTGAAACGTGGCAAGACTGAGGTGAGATGGGCCGCAAGTGAGAATACTACCGACTGGGCTGCTGTGAAGAATTAGGAAAAAAAGACAGTAAAAGAGGTGTAATTAATTTATACTGATTACATGTTGAGATGATATTATCTTGTATATATTGGGTTAAATAACCTATGCTATTAAAATTAATTTCACCTGTTTCTTTTTGCCTTTTTAAATGTGCCTCTTTGAAGATTTTACGTTAAATACGTGGTTTGCATTTTGTGGCTCTCGTTATATTTCTACTCCACGGCGCTGGTTTGAGCATAACTCCTTCTTCCCTCCTTCCCTATAGCAAAGCATCATTTTTAGTTCTGATGTTCCACAAATCAGAATAACTACGCTGCCAGACACTGCGAACTATAAATGCCTCATGAAGATATAAAAATCTCATAATTTTTATAAAAAAGAGAAAACTATTAAATAACACTTTTTTATCTTGATACATTTCTTATTTAAGTCAGCCAGTTACTCTTCCTTGAAAGAAAAAACAAAGAATTCTGATAGAAAACTAAGACTAGCTAAAGCTGAAGTGGTCACCATACTACACAAATCGAAGCAATACAACTTTTTTCTTTTTTTTTTTTGTAAATCAGATTTGGATTGAGTCAACTCCAAAAATACATATTCATATTTAAAATTAAATTATAAAGCATACTTAAAAATTAGTCCATACAGTCAAGCTGGCAAATTATAGAAAAATGTCCAGTTATGAACATGGATTATACATCCCTAATAAGTTGATGTGCATATAATTAGAAAATCTTTATCACTTAATAGTCTTTCTACAATTGTTGAAAGGGAAAAGGCAGATTTTCTAAGAGATTCCCCTTCCCACAGATTTCTTTCCTGATCGTCAGCAATCATCCTCATATCATTCATTCCTTATTTGTTTCTAGTCAGAAACCAACAGTGTCAAAGTTTATCATGAATATTAGTTAGTCTATCTGTCAGCCAGTTCAATAAACTATCCTACTGCCTGGTGAGTTAATCTGTTGCCTTCATCGTTTCCACTTATTGCAAAACATTATCTGCACTTTGTGGAATACAAACAAGCTGCTGAATGGCTTCAAACCTCTACAAACATGGCTGAAGTTTATTTATTGGAAGAAATATAATTCGAGACTCCAGAAAGGGGAATGAGTGGGAAAGCCAGGACCACACGTAAGTAAGCCCTTCTGAGAATCACAATTCCAATCATCCTTATCATTACAAGATCAATATTCCTGGAAAAATCTCACCCGAAATACTTATAAATTATAGGCACCTCCAAATGTATTGATAGAAACATTAACACATGATAAGTGCTCAACTTCTTGAGTTCTAGAGTTGCTGAATTTCTTCAGAATATCAGAAAAGCTATACCATGAAGAGAGGGGTATCCGCATGCCGAGAGTTAAAGAATAAAGTCTATTACAGAGTCTGACTTACTGTCTCTCATATTTTAAATCTGTGCTAATAATCTCTATCAGATTCTCTAAAAGAATTTATACCCATAATATTTAATCCTATAAAATGTTATGTGAAGAGTCAAGCTTTGACAGGTGCCTAAATTCAATCAGCTGACTGGCACCTAGTTATTTACTTGTCACACTTACTTTCCAGAACTCTTAGCTGATAAAGGCAAAGTTGGAACAGCCGATGTGGAAAAACGGACTGTAATGTGGCTCTGGCGCAGCTAACTGTTCTCACAATGGTCACTTCCATTTCAGAGCACTGACTACGTCTGAAGTGAAAGTTACCCACCTCCCTGCTGTCTTCCTGAATGAAAGTGAAGTGGGAGGTGGGGGGTGGGGTGGGGGTGGGGGTGGGGGACAGGGAGTGAAGTTCCAGAGGCACCGATAAATAAAAACCCAAGTAATGGCCATGTAATAATTCTCACTTGTCCTACCACAAAATAATTTAGATTTTGTGTATTCCTCCAAACCTGATTCCTGAGAGATATGTGGAGACTTAATAGAAAAGTTTCCCTAAGTCTGACAAATTTGGAAAACAGTAAAAACTAAATTCTTTTCTAAAAAGATTCATAATGTGTGTTAGCATATTAATAGCTCTGAGAAGCCCTAGACTCAAGAAACTGATTTAATTCAACTTTTCAAAAGGAATTTTTTTCACACCACCTACCACCATCAGAGGCAAATAGTATGATGGAGTCTAACTGCCTACCTAGGCGCCAATCTCAACTCTACCACTTGGTGGCGCTGTGACCTTGGTCATGGCAGTAACCTCCAGCTACTTCAGTTTTCTTACCTGAAAAATGGGGCTTATGGTAGAATCTACTTGGAAGGGTTGCATGGAGATTGAGTCAATGTGAATAAAGCGGTCATCATGCAGTAAGCA